TGTCTCTCTCTCTGTGTCTCTCTCTCTGTATCTCTCTCTCTCTTCCTCTCTCTCTCCCCTTCTCCTTTTCCTTACACACACACACACACACACACACTCACACACACTAGACTCTATGATCCTCATCCAGGCGGCTCAATGTAACACGACACGAAGGTTTTCCCGCGCCTGTGCGACGGTGACGGTGACCCACGACACAAAGGTGGATGCCGGCCAGAGTAAGAGTCTTGCCCGATCTCTCCTCGCTGGACGTGGGCGCCGCTGTGGGGAAACACGACGCCTTGCGTCGGGTCGAGCAAAGATGTTTTATTACCGATTGACGCGCGTATTTATCCAGCGGGAAATACCAGGAAATAGCGGATTTGTGCGTTGCTAGTCAGTCGCAAATCCTCCCTCCCCCCTCCCCCTCTCTCTCTCTGCCTGTCTGTGTTGCTCTCCACCAGTGGTGGACCAGCACTTCCATGGCTTGCCTCTGCTCACCGATTCACACACAGAGTCTGCCGCACTCTGCACACAGCGCGTCCCTACAAACACACACGCAAGGCACACGCGGCGCGCGTCCCGCCGCCACAGGCGGTACTTCCCGGGGCTGGCTGTAAGCAGGCTAGGCCAGCTCTCGTGCACTTCATCTTATCTCACCAGGTGAGGTGTCGTGTCCTTGTCAGCCGCCGCCAACGAGACGGCTCAAAGTCCTCCCTCCCTGACGCGGCGGCCCGACCAGGACAAGCCCTTCTCGTGGCCGCCGCCGCTGCCGCGGGTGGCGCTGATGGGACCGGCAGGACAGACTTATCACGCCTATGCTCAGGTCGATACAATCACATCCACCGTCACTCTGCACCTCCTGTCGCCTCGTCGCTGGCCGACGGGGCCGAACGTCACGCCAGTCGCCAGTCGCTTCAGCGGCTCCAACACGGGGGTCGGTCAGGTTATCATACTGTACCCACCACGATACCAATGCCGGTATTATTAAAAGTCTCTCTCTCTCTCTCTCTCTCTCTCTCTCTCTCTCTC